AAGCTGAAGAAACAATAAAATATACAAGTGAAACACAAAAAAATGAAATAATTGAATCCTGCAATAAAATTATTTTAAATAGAATCGTAACAAACATAAATGCCTAAAGATGTTTCAAAATACTTGCTGATGAAACGGCCGACATTGGTGGAAGCGAACAAGTAACTTTGTGTGTTCGATATTTAGATGTTGAAAATATGATTATCAAGGAAGAATTCTTCAGTTTGTGCCTACAACAGATACTACTGGAAAAGGTTTATATATTATTATTCAAAGTTTACATTCATTTGGTGTAGAAACAAAATACCTTAGAGGACAGTGTTACGATGGATGTGCTTCTATGTCTGATCAATTTAACGGAGCTCAATCTCTTATTCACCAAATTCATCCGCTTGCGACGTTTGTTCATTGTGCTGTTCATGTTTTAAACCTTGCTATTTCTTATTCATATTCTATACAANGTTCATGTTTTAAACCTTGCTATTTCTTATTCATCTTCTATACAAGAAACACGAAATTGATTAGGAACAACATCTAAAGTTAGAGATTTTTTCATATACCCAAAGCGAAAAGATGTGTTGAAAAGTCAAATCGAAGAAAGTCAAAAATGTATAACTAAAAAATCATTAAAACAATTATGTGCGACTAAGTGAGTTGAACGTTTTTATGCTGTCAATGATTTTCTTGAGCTTTTTGGGTACCTAATTGAAACGTTATTTATAATTTCGAAGTGGAATGACACTGAAACATCATCAAAAGCAAGTAATTTACGAACATCAATACTGAAAGGAGATTTTATTATTTGTTTACTTATTATAAATAAAGTATTTAGTTATGAGTTACTTTGTTTAAAACAACTTCAAAGAAATTAGCAGGTACACAGCATTGTTATTATCAATGGTAGTAAGGCACATCGTTGTGAGTTTATAAATACACTAACTGACAATACAGAAAGTATATCTATGATAGTCATAATTGATAATAAACAATCCGTGACTGCGACATTGATATCATATAAACCATTTAGCTACCTGTATTTGTAATCATATCATCATGTGTATTATACATGTATATTAACTCAAAAATTTGAAACTTTAAATGTTTATATCTAATAAACTAATAAAGTTATATTAAAAATTCAAATGCCATTTACTATTTAATTAAAAATCCAAACATTTTATTATATTCAAAATATGTGTTCCCATTTAAAAGACAAAAAGACAAAGTTGACACCCTTACAAGGGATAAGGGATGAACATAAAAAGTTTTAAATAGTTAATAATTTAAGAATAATGTGTAACTAAAGAAAACCAAAAATAATGTTTAAATTATATTTATTCTACAAGTAAATGAGTGGGTTATGATAAAAAAATCAGTCTGTATACTGTAATATAGTTTATCATTTGTAAAGCTGGAAGTAAAACATTTTTGTAATGTTTTGTTTAATTGTAATTTCCTGATCTATTATTACTAGACCAGGAATTAAATATTTATAAACATTTTTGAAAACGATAGTATTATTAATTTTGCAAAAAGAAGAAAAACAAAATATTTTAGTATATAAGACGAAATGGAATGAATCGTAGAGGAGAGAGGACCTCAGGAGCACCGAAGGTAATCTCTTTTCGCGCGATACGTTTATGACATTAAGTTTTCATTTTGTGTATTGTTTTATAGTGTTTTTAGTGTATATTTATTTTGTATGTTTTGCATTGTTTAATTATATCTATAATAAATACATTTGAGTTATTATTAAACTTTTATTACTTTAAGTTAAGACACTAGGGTTGTTTCTTTTAAGATACAACAATACCAAAATTTCAAATTTCAAATTATTTGTCAATTCCTAAAATAGTAATTAGAAAAATAGTAAGTTTTTTTTACGTCAGTAAACATTTCTATAATTTTCGTTTGTGAGGTTCATTAAAAGCTGGACACCACCCGAGAAATCATTCAAAATACGCCACTGATCCAACCCAAAAAAAATAATTATATATTTTAATCAATTTAAATACAAAACATAGCGCAATCGAATTACCTTTTTTTAAAACATTACTTATAAAAAAGTTTATGAGTTGTTAAATTCGAACGGATTATAAAATCTTTTAACAAAATGTCTTAAAGATCTAGTGACATTTATCGAACCTTAAGCCATAAGACGCTGCCATCAGTGTGTGTTTTAATATTTAGACCGCATTCAAAAATAAACTTTTACAGGTAGTCGACAAAATTTATCGCCAACAATTTAACTCGAGTCAAGAAACTAACAAGTTTTTTTATTTAAAAATAATTTTTTTTTCTTAAAATAACTAAAATGTTAAATGAATGGTACTAAATGGTGCAGTACATGTACTTAAAAAAGAATTTCTAGAGAGAACTCCTCGAGGATTCGTGGGTAAATTCTTTGGGTGCGGCGCACGCGATCGCGCGTGTCCAAACATTAAGATAATATTATTATAACTTCTTCTCCTTCTTATTCATAGCGTATTATTAAGGCGAAGGTGTCAAATTAGAAACATTAAATTAACTAAAAACAGCAGTCGCTACCGCGAGTCACATCGCGTCGGTGGCATAATTCTTAGGGAATATCGTGTTCATGCTGAGTTAGCCACTCCTCAATGTGTTTTATCCGTTTATTTTCAATTTTATAACCACTGATTATATGTGAGTATTCTCATCGTATCATGCGATTGTTGTTTGTTTTCTCTTTAATTCTGTATGTTTTTTAAAATTCAAAATCGCGTGTACTACAAACAATTACATATTTATTGTAGAAGTTCTACTCGTGGGTTTCTAAATTATAATTAATATTCGAAGTATTTCTTGCAGTATCGCATACCCACCCAACTACAGAAGTAAAATAAAATAAATTTTCGAACAAAAATTTTAGAGTTTTTATAATGATTTTATTATTTTTTTCAATTCATAAAAATTTGGAAAGCAAATGGGGAAAAGACTTGCAGTTTTACAAATAACAAATAATGATTTTTTACACTCTGTGTAGAAAGTGTTTACTCCAATAAGACAGTAACCAATGCTATCCAAGACTTTTTAGTGTAAAAGTTTGTTTTTTGAGTCTTTCTTTTTACTAATTGATTTACAATAAGTAAAAAATATATATACATTATGTATAGTTGGTTTTTTATTGATGGAGTGAATTTATTTTAATAAATTTCTGTCGTGGTTGATTGATTGATAGTCATGTAGTACAACATGTGAGATTGTTTACCACACGCATCGTATTTCAAACACGTTTACACATTTGCGAACGTATTATTCTTTTTTAATACAAAATTTACAAGTTCTTAATTTGTCTGTAAGATTTAAAAATCACGTTTTACAACTATTCTCTAATTAATTGACCTTGTTGGGAGACTGAGTACGAACAATTTTAGCTAAGATCCATTAACCTTTTATTTTTATAAAAGAAATATGCGTTCTTTTTTTTTTTAGGCTGTTGGGTTTTAATATTAATACATGTCCGACCATCACCTGACAACGATCGTTTTACCCCTGCAGCGGGTGACTGAAAATATTAAAAAATCAAATAAAAATTAAAGAAGCCATATATTACATCGACAAATAGCTATAATTTTGTAGTGAAACCTATACAACGTTTCGGCATCCCGCTGGACACATGAAGTGTATACAAATCAAAAATTATCATCCAAGTACTTAAGCGCCGTCACTAAACATAATAATAGTCATAAGGTAGCTCCTCTCTTGCCTTGTCACAATAATGTGTTTGAATGTCTTGTTCGCAAACACCTCTCTGAAGCTTTTTTACAAATAAATTAACACTAAAACGCGTTTTTCATATTTTTCTAGCCATTCCAAATATTTGTTCACAATCGCCGTTGTTTTTCTGCTAGTTTTAATTTACATGTTAGTCAAGCATCTCAGTGGGTGGTTATGATGAAAAATGGGTTTTTTTATAATTATTTATACAACACACAAGCTTATAATTGTTATGTAGTAAGATGTGTGATTGCTCGATGGTGTATAAATGAATTACTGTCGAGTTACTTGTACACGTCTAGTTTAATAAGTAATATTAATATTAATAAATGCCGAACTTAATAAAAAACGCGCATTGAACACTGCACTTCTTGTAGAAAATTCTATTGCGGCAAACGTCAAACGGCCGTTGTTTTTCAAATACTAAAGTTATTTCATTTTAAAATCCTTCAACAATATTGCATACGATCGAAGACATAATAAAATAATAAAATGTAGTAAATTATAAGTGTATTAACTTCGTAATATAAAACGCTAATGAAGTTTATTAGATCGTCAAATGATATTCTTGAAAATCATCAGACGAGAAATAAAACTGAATGTTTTTTTCATTAACATTAATTTTATGTTTTTTTTTTTTTATATATATAATTTTCTTGATAAAAAAAATTGATTTACTCAATTTTTTATCCATTTAAAATCTTACCTATACAATAAATAAAATAAGTCTACTCATTAAACTACATAAGACGTTTTTATTTCAGTTTGTATAAGTTATTCAGAATAAGAATAGAAAATAAACAATGAGCACAATTTTATTGAATCACCGGACATTTTGAAGATTAAATCACTTTTACATAGATGATGGAGAGATTCATTTTGGAAATTAATAAAAATTGGAAAATAAATTTCATCAAGAAAATATAAATCTATAAAAAAAATCCAAAGAAAACTAAGAAATTTTTTTACTTTATAAATATACGTAATAAAAGTCTACACTTCTTTCACAATTTGATTGATTCTATTTAAACTTGTATATATATACATATATGTTTACAAAATATGATGAAGTTGTAATTACATAATGCGTTACATTCTTTGTGAACATTTAGGTAATCGAGGTATTTACCCTCTAGTAAAAGAATTTTTGAGGGTTTACCAAACGCCATAATAACTCACTATACGCATCAAATACTGTCCGCCCCATCTTGAATATTTTTTTATTTTAATTAATGAAACAACGGCTTTCCATTATTTTTATGTTTCCAAACAACGTGTTTTATATGCAAATATAGATTTTTTTCGGTCGAAAATTAATTACCATTTACCAACACGATTTCTTTAGCGCCTACTTAACTATACATGTAAACAGCTAGCAAACATCAAAAGCACTTCAATCAATGCCTTAACACACAATAAATTAACACGATCCACCCGAGCTGTCAACGAACGATCATTCCTATATCAAAATATTAGCATTATATTAACGATTAAAAGTTGATTAAAAATGTGTTCGAGTACTCATTTGTTTCCTCTTTTAAGCCTCGAGGAAATTGGTTCAGTGTTAATATCTATTATAACAGTTAAATTGTAAACGACAAAACAATAAATAGAACTTAATGACTTGATTTCTAATAAAGTGCTAAATATTTTTACATTTATGTACAGAGGATAGGGACACTACAACGAACGACTTTTGAGTAATATTAAGAAAATTAATGATCAGTTTTAGAAGGTCAATGGTTTCATACCTTTAAAAGACAATATAAACTCTTAAGTGTTAATGCTTATAAAAGATAAAACTCTTCACGTTCAGCAGTACACTGAAACAAACAAACTATGAATTCAATAAAAATCGTCATTGCTTTAATAATTTCTCTATTAATATATGTCCAATAAAACTATTATTGATTTCACAGTATAAATATTATTGTTTTGAACAACAACCCCATAAATTCATTTATTGGTTTAACAAAGTTAATTATTGATTAATGTACCAATCAGTAATTAATGTTTTATTTTATATATTCATTAAAATTTAATTGGTTCTTAAACATCTTGAGTATTTGTACTGGTAACCTTACCAAATGGCCAGTAACAAA